TTTGATAATAATTTAGCAATGATATACTTGCTTTACCAGATAGTATTGCAGAGGATCGTTTCATAGGCTTGCATGGATTTTCTGTGTAAGCATATTGATTCCATTTCTATCAATATCATTTGGTTGTGTTTAGTATGTGGTGTTGGATTTCATTGAATCTTGGATGTGGTGATTCATTCCTTGATAATGTGTTATTTATAACTGAGTATTGTTGAAGGATTGGTCTCGGATACTAACTAAGGTATCTTCAACTTTAGTTAACTTGGTTGCTAAAGAGCTTTGAGTGGTGATTCACTTTTGTTTTCTACTAGCTTTGTTGTAGTTGTAAGTTCATGAGTTTGGACATCTCGGGAGGTCACCAAGCCTAGTACTATTCAAACCCAAGGACACTATTGTCATTGAAGTGATTAATGGCATTGAAGTTAACATTATTGATGTTGAGAATCGAGTGAAATGAGATGTCTTTCCATAAGATTGATATTAAGTTTTATTAGTCTTGATGCAGATAATATCGATGATTTGGCTGTAGCTTATATTATTGGCATTCATGCATATACTAGTTAGCAATTATGTTGGCATTCAAATAAGATGAGTAACAAGTTGAGTTAATCATGTTGTAAATGAAATTATTTAGTAGGGGTTGAGCTTTGGTTTTTCCTTGAAATGTGATTTAGCCATGGATTATGCTAGCTTTACAAAAAGAAGAGTTAGTGATTGATATTGAAGTTAGTAGTTCTTTGTTGGATTTGAGTTGAGGATATGTCGATTGATGATTTCATTTGTATTTGTTATGAAGTGAGTTATATCTTGCTTTAGAAAGATGGATTCATGGAGGATTAGTTTGGTGGTCACTTGTTAAGCATAGCTTTATTATGTTTACATAGATCACATGCCAAAAGGGTGGCAACGCTTCAATTTTGATTTTATTGATGCTCCAAATCAAGTGACATTTTATAGGGCGATCAGGTAGATTGTGTGCTCTCTCTCTCTCTCTCTCTCTCTCTCTCTCTCTCTCTCTCTCTCTCTCTCTCTCTCTCTCTCTCTGTGTGTGTGTGTGTGTGTGTGTGTGTGTTGCGAGGTTTGGAGGTGACAGTGTTGCCAAGACATGATGCAGCTGCAGACCTGGTTCAGATGTACGCATATACTCAGTGCTTCTTTACATGGTTTGTGTTCACTTTTTCATCACACATATTTTACTGCCTCTTATTATGTACAATAAGGAGTACGTGCTTGGGCAGCTCATATACGTTCAAGCAACGAAGAGACTGCCTGGTGCTCCCGGATTTTTCATCCTATCATGCCAAGGGCTTGCAACAAGATTCCTGGCATGCGTATGGATCTAGGTTTCAAGATGATCTCTCATTTCTCTTGATCTCTGTGTCTAAGTTGGTTCTTGTTGTGCAGGAGTGAGTAACAGAGGGCTGTTTGGGAGTTCAAGATTTCATTTCTTTTATTTGTGTCCAGACAACCAACGACCTTTGGGCTAAACACTCTAAAGTCGTTTTTCTAAACTCTTGGGATGCTATTAGAAAGGTTCATAAACTTATGTTTAGTCTGATGACTTCTCCAGTTTTCTTGTTTGTTTTAAATGCAGATTCAAACTAGTGGCGAGAAACTGACTCCACCATTTTCGACCTGTCAAATCTCTTGGTTTTGGTGACACAGGAAGGTGAGTTTTTTCATAGTCGTTTCTTATATATGGGATTAAAAAGCCTTTTTTGTGATGCAAGTGTACATTTAGTAGAGTTGAAAGGTTTCTGCCAGTATTTTGCCAATAAGAGCGTCGGAATAAGCAGAAACAAGGTTATATTTCTGTCTTGAAACTTGCACTGATCTTTTGAACAGGTTCATTGTGCATGTGCTGAAAGAGAGATTCTTGGATTGATCTTGCTTTCTAAATTGACTTTTTCCTTGCAGATTGCGACTCATGTTTGTTTAGCAATAGACTTTTATCCTGCAGGGGAACTCTTTCTTCAAATAGAGAAACAACCACTAAAATTCGTTGATCAAACTCTCCAATCCAGTGTTCAGGTAGCATTTTTCTCTTTTTTGTTTTTATACTTGTAAGATCTAGTTTTGACTGTGTTTGTTCTCTTTTCTCTCCAGTTGCAGGGGATTGCCATGAGCATCAAGGGCAGAGCCTAGGATCTGCGTTGGTTGGCTCTGGGATCACATTGGCTCTGGGCACGTTTAGTTTATGAGACAATGATGGCAACTGTATGTTAGAATCAAATAAATTGTGAAGTTCGCATTTCTGATGTTGTTTCCTCTGATCACTTGTCACAATATTTCCCAGAATTTATATTTTTGTTTGTGAAATCAAATAAAATTACTATGAGTGGTTTTCTATACAAACACTAAGGGTAGTTAAGTTTTTCTCTTTGGGTTTTTCAAGTAATGGAAGAGAATGTTGAGAACCAGGAAATTCGGAAGTTTCATAAGCATCAACCTTTTAGAGTTAATGGCAGATGTTAATCCTTCTGCCCTACATCACATGGAGAGGCAGAGGGCATAACATTTATTTATCTCACGGATGACACGTGCAAGTTCATCAGTGTCGACAAAATATCTGCCAGACATGGCAACACTTCCAAGGTCCCGAAGAATGTCATCATGGTGACATCCAAATGCATGGCGCAATCTCGGATTTTCATCCTGTTAAACCATAGTTCCACATAAGAACATTCCCAGCTTGCAGACCTATAATACAGGATAAATACTTCTCTGCTATACGATGAAGACAAATAAGGTGATAGCACGAACTTTGAGATTTGTGTGAACAAAGCCGGGCATGTGGTTATAATGATGGTTGGCCTGGATCACTCTGATTTGTTTTCACTTTCCTTTTGAAACTGCAGGAATAGACATGGACGACAAAACCATCTCTTTAGCTGCGGGCATAGCGGGCTGGTAGCATTGGCGCGGGAGAGCTTTGTGTCCATGAGACACGATCACTCGCTGGAGCCAGGGCTCGATCACTACACGCGAATGCTGGGGATTCTTGCGAGCGCTGGGCAAATTGAAGAAGCACTAGATCTCCTCCACGCAATGCCCTACCGCCCAAACGAACAATTCTATTCAAAACTTAAGAAATGAAGTAATGAAAAGAGAGCCAGGGATCTATTTTGGTAATGACAAAGAGATTGCGGAAGAGCAAGTTCACACGTCCAGGAAGATGGTGACTGGCAATCTTTTAATAGATTTGTCTGCTAATGGAATATTATGCAGATTGTTGTAAGGGCTACAAGAAAGCACAAGGATTGGTGGTGTAGTATTGTATTTCAAGAACAGATCTGAATACTGAAACCTAGAACTTTTCTTTCATAAACCCTTTTGCCTTCTTTCAATAAACTGAACTCGAGAATGCTGACACGAATTCCCTCTCATTTGGACCTGTTAAATTTCTGGACCCATTGTCACCAAACCTTTGTTATTGTTTGCTACAGGCAATCCATTATACTGCAATTCACTTACTGGAGCCACCACACACAAAGTCATTATTGCTCCATTTTCCAGTAGAATCCACATTAAACCTCCATGAAACATGCCTCCCACATTTAAGCTGATCACAAGTGTATTTAACCTTTGCTTTATAGTTGAGTTGATGAACAATGATCAGGAGCTGCTTCCTCCAACTAAAATAGTTCACTTTGTTATCTTTATGTTACAAATTTTACAAGTTTTTAGTATTCAACTTACTGTCATTAGAAGATTGAACATTCCTTTTGCTCTGCTGCTTGTTTTTTAGCTGTGGACAATCAAACTTTTACTGTCCAAGCCCACCGAAATGATGACAACCTTGCCTATAGTTCTTCACAAAAAACTTTTACTCTTTGACCTTTTCATATTAGATTCAGCTTGTAATGTTTATTTCCATTATTGTATCATTTTAAAGTTGAAACCACATTAAAGAGCTCCTCCAAACTTTGGGAATGACACAAGTACTTTTTGATGCTCTCACTTTGAAGGCCATTAATGAAGTATGACTTGTTCTGATTTAGTTTTTTTATTAGAACATGGCTAATCAAATATGTAAGCTTTTTAATATAATCCCCAAGTGCTATTTTCCCTTGCTTAAAATATCAAAGTTTTATAAAAGCACCTCAGCACCTTAGCACCTCTATCAGCACCATTGTCAACACTTCCATTGACATTAGGATTTCAACATTCATCTTAGTTACTATTACAACCAGCATCTTTAATACTAATATTATGACTTGGCAGTAAACAAGAAAGATATAGAGACTTAACCTTCCATAAACTATACTACACCAGACAATGGTATATTTTATGGTCCAAGCTTTTGAGTTGACTTCTGACCCACGTTGACCACATGGCCAAAGATTCTCTTGAAACCTAGATAAAGCATTTTCTTTAAGGTGTAGGTTCTAGACTGTTGTTGGCTCCCTCTATTTAACATATTTTGCAGTTTATAGCTAATTTCTGTAGGGACTTTGGGCAGATTCTGATACCAGCAATCAACAGAGTTCTGTCTTATGTTACTCATATAGCGAAAAGCCGTGGCTGCAGCGTGGCAGCAAGGGTGGTCGGAATCAAGAGTTTTTTTAAAAATGTACCGTCATCTGTTTGGTAAGCGATTCCTTTTCATTGCTTCTCTTGCATGGAGATCCCTCGACATGTGCCTTCAAACGCCACGTCCAGCAAGATGGCATACTTGTGGATCCCTCCAGATTCACAAATCCCCACTTGAAGGCCATGAGAGAACAAACCCTTGGGAGTGCATGAATTAAGGAACAATATGGCACATCAATACGTGATGTCATTCAAGCTCAACTACAATGCAGCGAGGAACAAGGCACACCGAACTAGCAAAAATTATGTGTAGATATGGCAATGGCAACTTACAAAACTGCTAAGATGTTCAGGGTCGTGTTGGCTTTCCTGTCAGCACTTGAATCTTGTGGTCTTTGAGGCTCACAAGCTGCTCCAGCTTCATAACTTTGGCTTCTAACAACTGCTTATAGTATTTCATCATTCTGTTACTGTACAATCTTAGTTACCTCGATTGTCTCCCGGAGCTCTCGGAGTTGAATATCCTTTTGGGATTCATTCATCCCATCCCTTTCCTGTCTCTCTGGAGAATCTGTCCTTTTCGGGCTCTGTACAACTGAACCAGATCAAGAACAGAACCAGTACAAAGACTGTACACTTACACCAGAAAGTCCTCTTTCATGACCCCTGCAAGAAAACATGTATAACAATAAAAAGAAAGACGAAAATCTCATACCTGCTTGGCGGTGTAAACATTCTAGGGGGCGGCCTTTTTATGGGGTAGTTGCCTACAAAATCTAATTTGAGTTTTGACTAGAGCCTCCCAAAGCAATGTTTCTGTGTGATTACTTATTTGACCATTTCTCCATCATACCATGACCGTTAGGCTCGTGCTTCATTGACTCTGTTTTAATCGGCCTGTACTTGGCAATCTGGCAGAATATGACAATTTCTAAACCGAATTTGGAGAGGAAGACATTTACCTTATATTTCAAAAGCTTAAGTATTCTTTCTATCATTTGGTTTTCAGCATTTGCGACTGCCTCGACGTCTTCCTTGGTTAAGGAAAAGTTTAAACGTCTAAAAACCTTGTCTGCAGCACACACAAAATAAATGTGCATAACCAGAAAGTTGCTTACTGTTGAGAGTGTTCCAGTTGTAAATCTTCTGAGCAAGACTGTTGGCAGCACTGTAGTTGTGAATATCCACAAGCCGTGGGCAATAATGTGCTACAACTTCTGCCGCTAATACTGGCGGAAAACATCGTTTTAATCCAACATGGAATGCTAGCAAACAGTACCTCCGTCGCTGAAATCCCGAGCGATGTTTCTCTTCGGCCTTGACAACGGAATCCCATCAACCTGAAAACGCTCAGCACTGAGCTGATCTATCAGATCAGCTTCAACTACAAACCCAAGAATAAAGTCCAGGAAGCTCTTCAGGTGCCACATCCATGACCTAAATAGACATGAAGTTTCATTTGCGTGTAAAGGAAAAAGAATGTTTTAAACCAGACCCTAACTTAAAATTAGTTCATATAACAAGGATTCCAAAGAGAGCTTGTAGCATTACATAGATATAAGCTCTAGACAGCTTGCAGGTAGAACGACCATACATCATCTGTTTCATTGCAAGTCACTGTGAGTCGGCCAGTCTTGGGGGCGTTCGGTGCTTCTGGTTTGTAGCTAACGACCAGCTTAGACTGCTTCTTGGGCTGCATCTTCTCACCTTTGCTCACCACAAAAGCTGGATTGTCCGTGGTGTAGTTAAACTGGACGGTGTCGTTGTAAACGTTTTTGAAGTTGATCTGTCCACTGCCCTTGATGAAGAAGGGACCCTGAGGAGACGGGCTGCTGCAGCTTGCCAGCAGCTGGCAGCAAAAGTCAGACCCTTCAGGCGATTTCAACGTGAGCAAGCCTTGGAACTCGTCCATGATCCGCGACGGCTCGAACACGACTTGGACTTGGAGGTCAAGGCCGTCGGGTGGTGCTGGATTGGCCTGCACCATGCTGGGTTCGGCCGTGAAGCCTCCGTCAATGGCTGCTTGAGAGAGCAGGCAATTGTACGTGGCCTTGACTGGAAGTGTGTGCCTAAAGTGGAAAGTCTGTACGAGCTGATTGCCCAGGGGCACGGAGAAGAGCAACGGGGCCTCGGATGGCGCTGCCACACTCTTGAGCGTCAGCTGGTATTCGAATTCCCCGAGGTCGTCGCTGTGTAGACTGAGGCTGCACTGGCTGCTGCCCTGCACCAGGGGTCGGAACGCAACGTCCACTGCCGCGCTGGACATTGCGTCAGCTTGCACCTGGGCGGGCAGCACCACGCCTTGGCCCGTGCAGCTCGTCTTGAACACCACAGGCCTGTCCAGCGGATTCCTGAGGCGAAGCGTGCGCGACGCTTGCTGCCTCACAAAGCACTCGAGGAGCACTGACTCGACAATGTCGGCCCTGCCCGTCTCCACTGTCACGTTGAACAGCGAGTACTCACCACTCTCTTCGTTCTTGAACGTGACGGTGCTCATGGTGCTCCCAGGCTTATGGGCCTTGAAGTAGAACACGCACTCCTTGTTGGACAGCCCGGGCACGTCGATAGTCTTGGGGCCCTTGATCACTGTCGTGGCATCCCCCCGCACCATGCTTACCATGACGACAAACTGCTGAGTGGCTTTGAGCCAGTTTGGGACGTGCAGGCTGAAGGGGAGCGTGAGCCGCGCCTTGGCGTCCAGCTTGATGCTGGCCTCGGGAGGTGGCGGCCCTGCCTCACCCGACAGCTGATAAGACACAAGGCCCCCGAAGGGCAGCGGGAAGGAGATGGTGGCCAGGTGCGTATTGCTCATTGTCAGGGGACAGTAGGTGAGGCTGTAGCCTATGCTCTGGTTGGCCGGCACCTGCACTGTCACCGCTCCACTCCAATAGGGGTGCGAGATGGCGGGATGTACGAGCCAGTTCTGCGTTGTCGGGTTCTTGAGCTGGATCATCTTGGACTCGGTGGCCCGCACGGCTGCCATGAACTTGAGCGTCTCCGCGGGCGCCCCTTGCTCCACACAGCCCCCCAGGAGCGTCAAGTGCAGCGGCTCGCCGCCCTCCACTTGGCAAGGGATGTCCTCGATTCTCATGTCCGGATTAGCGGCCGAAGGATGGAAGGTCACGTCCAGCTTTGACACCTGACGAGGGGTCAGGAACCCCTCCATGGGGAAGATGGTGAAATCCGCCTCACACTTGGTTGTGTCCCACGCAAAGTTGGTTGCCAGGTCCCCGTGGTTTTCGAGCTGTATCTTCTTGGTCACCTTGGAGCCCAGTGTTACGATGTCAAAGGGCAAAACGCTCTGGTTGAGCTTCACCACCACAGCATGGCAAATGCCAGATACTGTCAGCACTCTCGACTTGGTCCCCGCCACTTCCAGCACAAGGCCTTCGGTAAACTTGGTCATCCTGGCTTGTGGAGTGAAGACGAGCTCCATGGGGCGAGTGTATCTCGACGGCAGCTGGATGCCTTGGGCAGGCAGGCATGTGATGCCCAGCTTGCCCAGTGCGTCGGCACTAGGCTCAAAGGATATGGGAGCCAGGATTTTGCTCTTGTTGGTGATCTGAACGTGTTGCTTTGCCGTCTTCCCCAGCCGGACCACCCCAAACGACAAGTAGCGCTGCCTGGGATCCACTAGCTCGAGCAAAACGGGCACGCCTTCCCCTCTGACCGAGATGGTCACAGTGTCGAGGCCACATATTTGGAACTTGACAGCCTCCCTGTAGAGCACAAAGGCATCCGGCTTGAAAGTCACCCTGATGGTGTGGTTTTGGCCGGGGCTCAAGCTCATGTTGACGTACTCCACTTCCAGAAAGGAGGTGTTCTCGTACAGGAGCTCGCAGGTGATCACCTCGTCACCCTCGTTGGAGAGCGTGAGGTCCGTGGAGGGCGGTGTCAAGCCGGGCTGGTGCAGGAAGCGGGCTCCAAAGTCAAAGTCGTGGAAGCTGAACTTGATCCTGGGGCGGTAGCAGGTGGCGTTGAGATGAATGAGGTACTTGTTGCCGTGCATAATCTGGCATACGATGGGAAGGTCCACAATTGTCCTCTCTGCGGTGGGGTGAAAGAGGAGGTCGCAGGTGAGCTGCTCATCCTTGGCCACCAGCTCGGCGACTGGCTCCGCTCGCAGCAGGGCGCTGTCGCTGCCACAGCCCCACATGAAGTGAAAGGCCGCTTTGCCCGAGTTGGTGAGGATGAACTTTCGGTACACCCTCGAGTTGATCATCACCCGCCCGTAGTCTAGCCTGAAGGCCTCCTTTGCCACGAGGGCGAGCGGCCTGCCGTCGTCCCCGCCTTCCAGGTAGAGCTTCTCGTGGTAGAGGTAGGCCTCCGCCTTGACAGACATGAAGAGCGGGGAGGCCATGCGGAGGTTGCACACGATGTCGAACGAGTGGTCGCCTTCCAGCGCCGGCGAGAAGAGCAGCTCCACCGGTATGGTTGCACCTTGGGCCACAATGCCACTCGAGGGAGTGAAGGTGAGCACCGCAACCTGGCCCGGCTGCGACGGCGAGTAGCTGAGCTTGTCGAAGTTGAAGGCGAAGGGCCCAGGCTCGGGGTTGTGTAGGTAGATGGTCTGCTTCACTCTGGCCTTGACGAGGACCTGACCAAAGTCGACGTGGGAGCAGCTGAGAGACAGCTCGGGCTTCTTGACGTTGCCAACCAGGAGGAAGTTGACCTCGATCCTCTTGTCCGGGATGCGGAGGGTCCAGAAGCTCTCGTGCAGCTCCAGCCTCATCGGGGTGTACTCGAATCCCATCTCAAACCTCTTGCCGCCTGGGATGAGGCCGCGCCGCATCATGCACCGGAAGGGACGGGGGAAGACGTCGTCGTCAGTGATGGGCTCCAGGTCGTAGGCCGTCCACCTGAGCGACTGGCTCTTCTTCTCCTCCCACACGAACTTGTAGGCCACATTGGTGGGGTTGACGGCGGTGAAGTACTTGACGTTGCGCATGTTGCAGCCCAGCGAGTCGAACTCGATGATGTGGATGCCAGCGTCCAAGGGCCCCAGCTCCCCGTCGGGCCCCGGGAAGTGGCCGTCCCTCCGGCTTGCATAGTCGCTCCGGGGCAGCTCAAAGTGGCACCACGGCCTCGTCACGCTGCCGCAAACGGGGAGCCGCAGCGGCTGCTCCAGCGTGGGGATGTGGCACGCCACCACGCGGCTGCACTCGTGCACCTCGAGCGGGCAGAACTTGAGCACAAAGTGGGCGTCCAGGCCAGGCCGCAGCACACCACACGCCGGCTCCACCGCGTACATGCTCTGCTCCTCTGCCTCCACCGAGCCGTCTGCCTTCTCCACGCGCCACGAGAAGGGCATGCTCGCCTTGCTCAGGCTCTTCACCACCAACGGGTACGTCCTCACCTGGAACATCATCGTTGTCTTGAACTGGACCGCCTGGACGCTGCACTCGTATCGCGCATTGTCGGCCACCGCGTGGAGCTTGTACGCGACGAGCTTGGCGCTCCCCTTGACCACCTCCAAGGCTGGCTCCGCGGGGTTGATGTTGGAGTCGATGGTCAGCTCGGGGGCAGCGCCAGCATTGCCTCCCTTGCCGCCCTTGGCAGCTGCTGCGGGTGGCGGCGCCGCTTTGCCACCTTTTCCTTTGCCGCCTTCGGGAGGCGCGTCCTCGTTGGGAGGCGGCAGCATGGTGTCGTCCCAGTCGGGCGGAGGCTCCTCCTCCTCCCCGCCCTGTCCAGTGTAGACAATGTTGCACAGCTGCAGGTATATGTCCTTGTCCATGTACTCCACCGCCTCCGTGGGGCTGAATGTCGCAGTGATCTGCTTGGACGCACCCGCGTGGAGATGGCCCAGCGCCGGCCTGAAGCTCACAAACGCTGGTGCGTCAGACCAGCCAAAGCGCCAGTGCTTGAGTGGCGATGCGTTCTTGAGGGTGAAGATGACGTGGGTGCTGCCTCCAACCCCGCAGTCGTCGAAGCATATGGCGTCGTCCAGCGCCTTGGGCAATCCAAGGCACACCACTTCTTCGCTGTAGCCTTCACCCGTGATGGATATGGTGACGGCATCAAATGGGTTGTCATCCACCACCACCATGATGTCTTGCTTGTACTGCCGAGCGGCACGAGGCGTGAAGGTGACGCTGGCCGTCTCCACACAGCCGACGGGAAACGTGAGCTTCTTCCCAACAAGCAGCGGCACCGCTCCCTGCTCGGTCACCTGGCTCATGTGGAGCCACGACTCCAATCCGTCGCTGGCGTCCCCAGCCAACTCGAGCCTGGCCACGGCAGGCACCAGGCCGTTGTTGACAAGAACAATGGGCAGCGTATGTGACTTTCCAACCAGCAGCCGTGGAAAGTCGAGCCACGGGAATCCCAGCGGGGACACTGCCGAGGGCGACTCGGCGAACAAGTGAGGCAAGGTTCCCTCTCCCTGGATGTGGCATGTAAACTGTGGCGACTCCCGGCCTTTGACAAGCACCTCGAGCAGCCCCGTGTACTTTTGCAGCGCCAGAGGCTTGAAGGAGATTGTAACAAACTGGTACTCGAGGGGTGGAATGTCAGCCGTGAGGGGGGAGAGCTCCATGCACAGCAAGTTGTCGCCACCTCCTTTGACGGGAAGCTTTTCTTTTCCACCTGACTTTGCCGCTGCTTCGCCCGGCCGACGGAGCACCAGTTCGACAGAGCATGGAACCCGCAGAGGGTTCTCGATACGAAGCCGTGCCGTCATGCACACGTCCCTTGCGCCCTTCTTGTGAGCTGCTACTACTGCTGGCTTGTCCTTGTTGCCACCTGCACTCGCGTCGAGCGCTGCCTTCTCATGGTTGATGATAACCGGCCCAAAGGAGAACATCTCATCCTTTCTGGAATACGTTCCAAAGCTTGGGATGGGAGCCAGGAGATCAATCTCGTCCACCACATGGTACTCGTAGAATATGGTCCTCGGCTCCGTGCTGATGCCTGGAATGCAGGCTTCACCCGAGAGCTCGTACGCCACGCCTCCCGGATACAGGAAGGGATTCATGTCAGCAATCTCAATGTGGAACGTCTCTGACGTCAGGCAAGGCGTGTCCACCTTGAAGAAGACGGACAGCTCCATGTGGCTACCAGGGAGGACTGTTCCAGAAGCAGGGACCACGGTGAAGCTGTTGAGTTCCAGGGGCTCACCCGATGCACCACCACCACCTCCTTTCTTATCCGTTTTCTTGCCTTTGTCTGCTGCGGCCGCCGCTTCAGGCGCAGGTGGCGCCAACGTGGAGACAAGCTTGTAAGCGAAATCAAACTTCCCCAGGTTGACAATCTTGAGAAGCCGAGGTGGCGGAGGGTTGCCGCATATCTGCGAACCAAAGTGAATGCCTTGCGCAGGAAGCAGCTGGAACTTGGAATGCACTGCGTGGACTGTTACTACACTAGGAATTATCTGCTCCGTTTTGCCAGTCAAGCACTCGATAAGGTGCAGCTCCACGTCCCGGCTCCCTTTAAGTGCGACCTCTCTTTGCAGCGTCTTCTCCTTGTTGAAGTGCAGGTCAACCTGGAGAGCAAGACAGCGGCGTTACCGTTCGTGCGATTGCTACGTCTTTCCCGCACTTTACCTTTTGCTGCTTCTTGGGCTCTAAAGTACCCCCAGGCGGGGTTATTGTAAAGAGCTCCTGCGTGAGCGCCGTTTTGTGGACGAACTTGAAGTCGACCTTGTACTTGCCTTTGTTGTCCATGGTGAGCGATTTGAGAGAATCTTGGGCGACTCTAAGTGTGCCATAGTTGAAGCCACCGTCGGGAGGCATGTCTTCTGGTGGGCTAGGATATTTGATCGCAATGTCAATCTTGTATGCCTCAGCAGTGATACTCAATGGAAGCTCCTGGTTGAATTTGACGGCGTCTTTCGCCTCGAAAACCTGCACCACATATCTTGGGTGTCATTTCACGATAGCGGGTGATGAAATCGGCCACCCTAACCTGGAGCTTCAACTTCTGGCTGAACACCTTCTCCTGGATCGCCTTGAACGTGACCTCAACTGTCGCACTGCCCAAGGCACACAAGCTACCGGATGTCTCTGAGAACGCAAGCTCGGGGGGTTCATTTTCCAGCCCGACAACTTTCCAGAAAAGAAGCAACGCAGATATATTTCTGGAGATTACAACAGAAGTGTCAGCAGCGGGAAACATAAAATGGCTGCATGCCTTATGATGATGGATTTCTTCACTTCACGGTCGAGCAAGAGGCGCTCAAACACCAGGTCCTTGCAGTCAACGTCTACCCGAGGGGTGTCTGCAAGGCAAATCACCTTGCATTCCAGAGGCTGAGGATTATCCCTGATCCTGCACACCATTCTTCCTTCCAGTGGGCCAAGTTGTCCCTGCATGTCCGAGAAACTCAGGAAAAAAGAACAGCAGAAGCTCGTGTCATACCTGAGGCGGGTAGCAGTAGATACTCAGCATCTGCTTGTCGTTGATTTTCAGATCCATTCCAAGGGGATTGAGCATAAAGAGTGGCTTGCCACCCTTGGCAGCCGGCTTCTTGCCTGCAGCACCACCAGCACCAGGTGCCTCGCTGCCTTCACCAACGTCAAAGTCGACATGCAGGTCGAAGAGGCCGATGTTACGAATCTCGAGCCTCTTGCAGTGCTCCGAGTCTGGCAGATTCGGAAAACCGTCGGCTGTTCTTCCGGTTGGAAGGGGACCGAAGTCTAGAATCCTGTCCGACACAAACAACGCCTTCTGGAGCTTCTGCGTGGGCGTCACCTTTGTGTTGGGAAGTTTAACGTGTCGATAAAAGCAACCAATCTGTGGTTCAGCACACACTCCTTTGCACATAAGACGGGCTTGATGGTTACCGTTGAGGCCTTCAAACACAAACTTTTGCTCGAACTCCCCCACGGTCTGAGACCAGAAGCGCAACAGCAGCTCCACGCGTTGCTGCGGTTTCACCACCCATCGCGTCCGCATCTCGTGCCCCTCTGGCAGCGCCTCCAGCGGAGTGAAATATTCGGTCTTCCTCTTGAGCATGATTTGGTACTTCTCGCTCTGCAAGCCTGCTGCTTTCTCTGCTCCCCCTTTGATCTTCTTTCCTTGCGCCGTGGGATCCCCCGAGCTGTCCTCCTCTTCACCCACCATGCTGGTGAAAAAGGCGAACTTAAGGCTGCTGGGATCACTGATGAAACTTGATCGCCTGTGCGGTCGCTTCACCACTTGAAGCACCTCTGCAGGTGGAAGCGGTGCTACATTTTCCATGTCTGGAAGAAAATGGAGCTCCTCCTCATAAACAAGCCCCACGTTCTGAAGTGCATTGATAGCAACGCAAGCCACTCTATTAGTCCCTGCTCCTTCTTCATGACTTTCAGCCTTGGCTCCACCCAAAAGGTTTTGTACGTCTGTCTCCGATGCATAGTACTTATCAAGCTCTTCCTCACTGGGAAATAGAGACACATATGGATAATACTTGACATGGTTCAGGACTTCCGATGCCAAGGTTGGGGTTTCTGGCTCGGACGCAGGTGGCGGTGGCGGCTCCCCAGCAGGTTCCGTTTCCTGACTTTCTTTTGCCGCTGTTTCCACGTAAACCTTCTTCTTGCACTGGTCACGGTCGGGAACAGTTTGGTAGTGCCTCGATAGTTCACTTCTTTGAGCCTTCAAAGTTATTGCGTATACTGTAGCCTCGCCCTTCCAGAACGTCTTGGGAAAGATAGGAGGCCCCGTAGGTTCTTCCTCTGCCTTCTTACCTTTGGGAGGTGCAGGAGCCTTCTTCTTTTCACCGCCACCTTTTTTCTTCCCGTCGTCTTGAGGATTCTCTGGATCATATGGTTCCAGTCCGGCAGCATAGAGGATGCATTTGGCGAGCGAGACAGTCGTCGCGTAGTGGGAGTTGAGTCCATCAAACACAGCTCCGTAGATGCACTCGGAGCTCTCAAGTTTCCTCCTCAGTGTTGCTATCAGATCCTTTTCGAAGTCGTTGATTTCCACAGATGCAGTAGAACTCCCGGACGCCTGGGTGCCACTGCTTCCGTCTGCCGTGGAGGACATCCGGTTTGTGCAAGTTAAAGCGACCATGTCATCCATAGCCACGACTGGGCAACTGAATCTCCGACTCAGCTGCTTTGCCTGTGTCGACTTGCCAACCGCTGGAGGTCCAAGTAGCATAATCAGGAGTTTCTTGGCATGGGAAACCAAAGGCTTTTCAGAGACATCTGGAGCAGAACCAGATGGACTTTTGCCTGCCTTTCCTGCTGCCTCAAGCGGAGATGGTTGTGTTGGAGGTTGTTGCAAGGCCTCTTGCTTTGCAGAGCCTCCAGGTTTGAGATGGGACCAGAAAGGTTGACCAGCACTGCGGCGCTCAAGGAACAGTTGATCATGCTCGTTGTAGCCTTCCACCGTCTTGAGAATTTCTTCCTCTTTCACATAGTCTGGATCAAACGCAAGTGAGTAAAGCTCCACTGGCTCTTCAGCGTTGTTGTAGATCACGTATTTGATCTCAGCGGCTTCAGGAGCGTTCGGAAGTATTGGTCCGAGCTGAATAATCGATGGCTCGAGTGTAAATATTGGCACGTAGCTGTGACCTCTGCACGCGAATTTAAGCTCGACTGGGTTGTGCAGCAGATCAATAAAAAAAACGGCAAAGTACGCCTTCTTCTTTTGCGTGGGAATAAACTGGACCTGGCCAGACATAGAAAAGCTAAGATTTTTGTTTAACAGGAAGAAACCTTGTACACAAACCTTTAGATCGACATATTTGTGGGCCTCAATCACTCCCGTCTCCGGTTCACAGGTGAAAGCGGTAGAGTCGTGAATATCACAGCTGCCTAGATCCGGTTTAGCTGCAGTCCAGATGCAAGGCACTTCGCCTCTACTGAAAAGCCGGAGATACAAAATCTGTAGCAGTCACAAGTTCGTCAGCTTAGAAGATAAGTGATCCGTGCTTACTTTACACTGGCCAAACTGAACCGCGCCGAAGTCAAGGTGTTCATGGGATACCTCCAGAACAGGTTTGCTTACATGCGCCGTGAATGCCAACACCAGTTGAGGGCCCTGCACGTTTGACAAGAGCAAATAATCTGCATGACACTCTCGGTGAACCAGGATGGCTTACCTCTTTAATGAAAAGTGGCACGGAGCACTCAAGTGGGCCAGCTGGAAATCTAGGCAAGTCCGTTCGCATTTTGAAGACCAAATCCATTGAACTCTTTGGAGAGTCCGGGGGTAGCGTTATCAGGCGATCGGGATCCAACGTGATGCCTTTGGCTTTGACACTTGCCATGTTTATTTTGAACGTCACTGGCAAAGGCCCGTCATTTGTAGCCTTCACAGTCTTCTGCGTTGTTTCACCAAGTGTCACGTTCTCGAAGTCGCAAATGTGCGTGTTCAAGACAAACTTATGGATATCCAGAGTCTCTTTGTTTTCATGAATGAGGTGTTCCTTGAAAAGAAGACGGTCAATCTCAGAATCCACTTGGTCGATTGAAGGTGCACGTAAAACCTCCGATCCAAAAGACAGCACCTCGTTTCCTGTCTGTAACGGAAAGGAGGAAAATAAAAAACAAAGCAACAACTTAATTGTTTAAAACTTACTGTTTCCAGCACCCATTCGTCTCCTACAGTTCCCGTAGTAGTCGGAGCTGTACCGACTTCCCTCACGACTGACACTTGCTCGCCTCCAGGATGTTGAGCTTCCACTAGAGGTGGTCCTTGGTGGTCATTTATAGCGGTTGTAGACATTCTGACCGAATTGGAACGGGCAGAAACTACTGGAGTAGTCTTCATGGCCATATACGCATTATGAAACGCTTCCGCTGCTAAGCTCAAATATTTGTGGCTTCTAACCCGTGTTGTATCCAGAAGGATATGAGGAAAGGCGCCAGAGCCTAGAATAGAGATAGTAGTGGGTACGAAATGTGCAACCTGTCAAGCATGTTTAGCTGCATGAAGCTCAGCAAAAAGATACAGACCTGAATGGTGAAACTGTCCATAAACTTTTCAGGAAGCCCAGGATAAACAGATGCAGCAAACTTCTGCTCTGTACCTGGTCCCAACAGGCCAGTCATGGGAGTCACTTCTCTTAGAACATCCCCTTTCAAAACACCCAAATCGATCTCAAACTTAAATGGTACCTTCCCTGGATTTGATAACGTAAACTCCTTGGTTGAGGCCTTATTGAAAGGCTGGACATTATAATCTAGAGCCACGCGACTGAGAGCATGCGCGATGGTTCCTGACTCGGCGCTTAATGCGACAATGTAGTCCGGGCCGCCTTTCACCTGGACTCAACTCACGTCAGTAAAACGTTGCAGCCCATGGAAAAATACCTCGCATATAGCCGACACTTGACATTGATATCCACAATGCCCATAGTAAGACACCTCCACTGTTTCTTGCTCCCCTGGTTCAAGGTACCCTCTCACAGGAAGAATATCAAAAATGTAATTTGTAGGAATTTTGAGGCCCCCGCTATCCTGGAGTATATTTTGAGAGACATGAATACCGTCACCATACCCGTCATCAAGCATCCAGCTGTACCACACGTCAAGGGCGCTCGAGTTTTTGAGCTCAATGTGCATCCTCTTGTATGTTAACTCCAAGATGCACCTAGCGGACAGCACATGTTTAATCGAACAGTGGAAGAGCAATAATGCTTACCCGAAATCCAGACTGCTCTGGTTCACAGAGAGGTTGGGATAGTTGATATGTGCTATCAAATCGATACCGTTCCTTTCCAAGGTACCCGTGTAGAGGATATCCAATTTACCATAAAGCACAGTGCTGTGCCTTTCTGCAATGTCTTGCTTCTCAAGTGAGACCACAACACTGCCGGAGCCACCCGCTCGTAGAGTCCATTCCGCCTGGTTGATTGAAAAAGGAGGCTTCACTGCTAGGGAGAACGTAAGAGGCAACTTGGAAACGTTCTCACAAGTCAAGGTCCTGCTGAGCTCGTGAGGACCGTCCTTTCCCCAACCATTGTTCTGAACAAACTTCAGCGTAGTTTCAGAAAATACGAGTGTCAATGCGGCCATGTCCGCATCCACCGAAATCTTGAGGTAGTACATGTCTTTTGCGCTGGTGACTTTGCACGTAAAATCCTCTTGGATATGGCCTGGATTTGTGGTGTATCCTGAGACAGTGAGCGAGAACGGCGAGTATTGCTTGATGACTGTCTTGTCGGGTGTGATAGTAAAGACGGGTACAGGTTCTGGGACGACCAGAGCGGTCTTTTTGTTGCCCGATTTTTTCTGGTCAGCTGCCTCCATTGCCAAGGATTTGTTGATAGCCCTTTGCTTCCTGGTGGTGTCGTTATCCCAAGCCAGCGTCTGTGGCTTTCTGCCCATGTTTTGTACCTCAATGGTGTAGGAGAAATGCCGTAGCGTGAATTGATCACCAAAGTGAACAAAACCTTCTTGAAACTCTTTGCAAACTAAAGTCGAGCCAACTCCTACAGCCGACAGCGGAATGAACAACTCGCCACCTTCGAAAAGTATTGTCACCTTGTCATTGAATTTGCCTGCATCATCCATATAGGCCCGGACCTGTTATAGGGGATTAAGTAGTAGAAAAGTCATATGCAACAAGTTACCTTCAACTCCACAGCTTCAAAAGGGTCCAGAGGCACGTCGCTGAGATTCAAGTGGTACATGGAATCCTTTTTCCCAAGAGAAATCTTGAGCGGTGCACGAATACAACACGCATTTCTTAAGACGACACTGAGATGATGATCTCTGAGAACCTGAACTTTCCCAAAATCAAGAGCAGGTACCCACTCGGTATCTGCCTCTTCTGTCTGCTGCCGTGCTGAATGGAGCTTTTTGCTAATTGGTTTTTCAATCTTAATTATGGGCCCAACCGAGGTTGCCAGGACTTTGATTAGATAATGAGTATACTCTTTCCCGGATATGCTGACGATTGCAGAAAGACTAACGTCACCAAGAGCCACAGTTGATAGTGTAAACTCCAGCGGTAAGCTCGAGCCAGCCTCTATAAAACCACTCTCAGCTTTCAGCCGCAAGATAGCAAGATTCTCCGTTTCCTTTTCTTGTGCTTGGATTTCATATCTCGCGGGCACCAGGGAATCGTTTATCAAGCTCAATGTTTTGGTGTAGCCATAACGCAGAAAGCACGTTCCATAATCCAAGCAATCGCATGATATAGTGACCTGCGGCGAGCTTGTCAAAACATGACAAGACGCAGACTTCTCACCGTTGGAACTAAACATCTTGCTTGCACAGGAATCGTTGCAAAATCTTTGCCAACTTTGGGTATATCTAGGCTTATCACTGTGGCATATCTTCTCTCCTCCCATGGAACCAATTCAATAGAAACGATTTTCTTTTCCTGCACGGAGAAAAGAACAGTATCAACAGAAGAAAGTAAATTAAAATGCACACCTCAGGCCCCAGTATAAAATAACATGGCGTCACTGTGAACTCTTGTGACCCACTCTCAGGTTGTAGAACCCGGAACTGGAAAGGTAAAGAAACCGGACTGCTGTTGGTCACAGTAACGTACCTTACGGACAGCAAACCGTACGAAAGAGGACCGAAGTCTAGTTCAGTCGTGTCGACAGAAAATGAGGGCCGAATAATACTTCCTCTGAATGCCAGTGACAGCGTGTGGATTGAGTCTGTAACCTCCCACAAAAACTTTTCGCTGAAAGTTCCCATGAGGCTGCCACAAACTTTGACTGTGATTGCCAAAAAGTCATTAGGCTCAACGGTCCCGGTATCGGGCTCAAAGGTAAAGGTTATCATAGGAGATGACAGTGCCTCCATCAGCCTAAAGTGAGCCTGCACGTGATTTTATCAGCTTTAATTCGCGTTACAAAGACAGAAATCTTACATCCAGCTCCCCAAGGTTCTCAAGAGCAACACTGAACTTGTTGACGGAATATAAACAGAGCTCTCCCAGATCAAGCTCACAGGGCGAAAACTGTGCGAGCGGACCCACGCCTAGCCCTTGTAGCTGCAGCGGTACTGCATCTGATTTTCCTGAGATAAGGCAATACGTTGTGCTCAAGTACCTGCACGATCGGCATGAGTAAAATAAAGCAATTGCAGATTAGCTGCAATTCACCGTAGAGGTTTCGGAGGACAAAAGGTCACCGTGATCTCTACAAGCGTCCCAGGCCATACTTCGCCTTTGGCTGGTGTTATGGTAAACGCCTGCCTTGAAACAGGAACGCAGTAAGAATTAGTGCAAAGACATAAGCGTAAAGGTACCTTATCTATACTGGACGACAGAAGCTCATCCTCCTCCGACGTGACAAGTGCATCTGGTGGCGGTAGATCCCTTGCATAGTCTCCAACCTGCTGAACGTATTCGTCCAGTTCTTCTTTAGAAGCAAACCTACGAGAAGGGTATTATAGATGACCGCAGCTCTCGAAGCCCCTCTTTATCACCTTTATAAATGTTGTTTTCAAACAATGGACGTACTTGGGCCACAAGAAATAAGCGAGAGAAGAGGAGTTGTTGAAAACTTGAAAAGTGACATGCGAAGTTCGCCTGATATACGTCGTAGATGCTGCGATCACACCTGTGGAGAGGCCAACGTTTAACTGCCCAAAACACAGCACGGTAAGTCGCGGGGGCTACTAGAAAATTGAACAGAACAGACCTCCGTGCCAGCTCCAATTAGCCGCGAGACAAGCTGGTCGCCATTCTCCTTGAAGGTAATTTCTAGCTCTCCTTCATAAGTGCATACTCGCCGAGGGAAAAAATAGACGCAGCACTGAAAGAATTCTCCCGGATCAAGGTTATGTGTGGGTGGTGAGACCCTGAAAAACTCGCTTGTCCTGAGTCGGAAAACAGCCTTCTTCTTTCCCACATTATGTATCATAACGTTCTACACTCAAAAACGATTCCTTGTGAGCATCTACGCGTGAAAGTGGGAGCAAACCTTTTTATAGGAACATTTTGCAGGTGTGGGAGGAAAAATGATCTCATCTGGAACGTCCACCATGGCTGCGAACACAAACAAAATAGAGGCAAGAACAGTTGATTGAATGCCTTACGTTTCAAGCCGACGCATCTGACAGGAATCACAAACTTCTCTCTATCAGTCACGGCCAGAAGCTCCGACATGTAGTCCCCGTCACTTTCCGGGACGAAAGCTATTGTGTAGGAGACCTGTAGGAACAACGAAATGAAAGATGCAGGAGGAAGAGAAGAGTTTGTGGTATACCTCCATCCCGCACGCCACTTTGCTGGAGCCAATCTCCGAGTAGACAGCCTGATCCCCACTTTGCAGCAACTCTACTGTCAGGAGGGGATCCTCGGACAACAACTGGACTCTTCGCACCACCTGATTAAGAAAACAGTAAGAAGAAGAGAAAGCGGGGTGTAAGTACCTTATCATTGTTACGCAGCTGAAGAACAGTGGCATATTTCTTGAAGGCATGGTAACCAGTAAAAACCACCTCCGGTGGGAAGGGCTGGAACAGTGGCTCGTCTTCCGGTACCGAGGAGACGATCTAGCAAGAGTTTCCAGACTGAAGAAAAAGGATTCGCCCGCTGGTGCTTACTTGGTGGCGCTGCTCGGCAAAGTTGTGCTTGTTGACAATGCAGGGCTTTGGACGGATAACTCCATCTCGCTGAGCAAGAGGCGGATCCAGCGCTTCTCGAATGTGTTGGCTGGGGCGCTTCTGGAGAGAGGAGCGTAAGTTACAAGTTACAGGTGCGCGGGGAAAAATACCTTGACGCTGGGAGGCGGCGGCTGATCCCCATAAGCCTTGTATTTGATGGTGAAATGCGAGGTGCGCGCTCCTGCAATGCCACTGGTGCTCTCGTTGTTGTTCTTCATCTTTGCGGGGGCTAGCTAGGGCAAAATGTCCAAGCCCTAGAAAGTGAGAAGGCATGAGCTTCGTGCGGCGTCGAGGAGTGGGGGCACCGCCACCGCCACCGCCATCGCCATCGCCGTCTCCCCCATCGCCATCGTCGTCTTCCCCATCGCCATCGCCGCCGCCGCCACCGCCGCCGCCGCCATCGCGCCCAGCAGTCACCAAGGCTGGGCCAAATGCCACACTGCTGGTGTCCACAGGAGTGGCGGACCTGGACAATATCCTCCCTCGCGCACCATCCATGAAAGTATCTCCTTGTCTCCCTTGACACGCTTGTTGACAGCTTATAGGTGGCGGCATTGGCATGGGCAAGTTGGTGGTGGTGATGGAAGACACACACGCTCCTCACCACCTGGTGTTGTTGCGCTACTTCATGGCCCAAGCCGTCAGCCACGGCCAGCCCCTCCTCTTGGCCACCGCTCTTGCGTCGCCCACGCATTTCCTCTCCACTCTCCCGGCTCCCTCCGCCAGCGCGGGCCAGTTCCACAACGAGTAAGAACTCCTTTTGTCCCTGTTTCCTCACTTTCCTTGTCCAGGGCGGGGCTGAGGATCGCTTGGCAGTACCACAAATACGATCAGGGCCAAAGCCAGCAGGGGCAGGACGGCTATGTGTCTAGCTTTGACATGAGGAAGTCGTGCACGCCAGGTCGCGTGCAGTGCCATAGCTTCTCAGGGGCCAAGGTGGACTCTTTCCTCAAGCAGTGCAGGGGGTTTGTGAGCAGCCTGGCATCCAGTGGAGAGATTGGTCGCATCGCACTTCACTCCATCTGCGCCCCTCAGTGCATGGAATTTTGCTCGGTGAGTTTGGTTGCGGCTAAGCGTGTGTTTGATAACGTTTGCAGGAGTGGGAGCTACTCTCCAGTCTGCTCTACCTCAAGGCCTTGCTCCTCAACGCCAATGCAGTCGCCCTGGTGACGCTCCCAGCATCGCTTCTCGCTGCCTCCTCGTCTAAGCGCTGGCAACACCTGGCTGACATCCTTCTGTCCGTCAAAGCATTGCCCGGTAAAACTCCCGCTCCATACTTGGACAACCTTATCACCCATGTTGCACTGCAGAGGAGGAGCAAACGCTTGTGGATCGCCAGGCGCTGGGCCTGCTGCACGTTCATAAGCTGTGCACGTACAACACCCAGGTTCGTCCGCTTCGAGTTTGGCGTCGTCAAAACAGCAATCAAAATCGTTTCCAAAATGAATGACAGGTGCCTGCCATCCCCGAAACTGCTGCCTATGCCATCAAGGTTGTCAAGAAACGAGAGCTTGTCTTGGAGCAGCTCGAACTGGCCCCTCTGGCTGGCGCCCAAGGTTGCTCCGCAAGTGCAAACTTTTGAGGGGTTATGAGTCGTCATGCGTCGAAGCTTGAGGTTTTATATCGGGATCAAGTTGTAGGATGCCGCCAAGCTGTAGATAAGGATTCTCCAGTAGCTTCTCATCATTATTCTGATCACAAAAGAAGCCAGTTTACATAATCTGCAGAGATTGCGACGGCAGACCTGCTGAGCTTTGAAAACAAGGTTGTGCAGCACGCGTTGATAGTTGTCAGCATCCTCAACCATCATCCTCTGCATGCAAAGAACGAGTCAGAGGATAATCAGCCCAGCCAGCAAGCACTTGCCTTGATGAGAAAGGAAGCAGTGAAGTAGGCAACGCGCGCGTCCCTGTCGTCGAGTAACGACCTGTTTTCCAACCGAGACAACGTCAGCTGCTCACGCACCAAAGCGCAGCACGAGGAAGCTACCTGAAAAACTCCTCGCCACCAACTTCGTCCAATGCAGCCTGCTCAACCGTGCATTTTCCAACCAGTAGCAACAAAAGTGCTGCTCGGACATCCGAAGCACAACCGGGAACGTTTCCACCGCCTTTACTCCCAACGGCGATGGCGAGAGTCATGTCGTCCACAGTGGCTCCAGCCAGCTGCATCAGAGGCCAGTAAAACAGGGCCGTTGGCATCTTGGTCAGCAGGTGCTCAGGTGCCGCAGCTTCATCCCTCAGAAATAGAGATGCTATCGAGCTAACCACCACTGTATCCCTGACGCTCTCGTTGTGCTCTTTCTTGTCGTCGTCGTCGTGTTTCCCCGCAGACGGCCCCGACCTGACGCATATTTGGGAGAGCAGCAGGTTGCACATCTGTAAATCACAAGAGGGTGAGAACAAAAGACGTGAGCTATCACAAACTCTACCTGTAAAACGTTAATACGGTTTGTGTCGTTTGCAGTGATAAACTGCCAAAGGGAGCTACTCATGAGCCACACCAAGGTACTGGGAAGGCTGTCGGGAAAACTTTCAGTGTCGTCTGCACGCCCCCGTCTCTGGCACTGCGACAGGAAGTGCTCCAATACGATCAGAAAACCTTGCCTGACATAATGCCTCCTTGATTTCAACAGTCCAAAAAGTAGATGGGCCGCTGACGTTTTGCTCTCAGGGGGATCAACCTTCGCCTGCTCCAGAATTGTGAGCATGCAGTTGCTGTGGGAAGCGTCTTTCCGTCCATGCAAGCATTCCACTTCTGTTACGAGGAGCTGGTTGAGCCACGAGTAACCGTGGTGGCGGTAATCGGATCGCGAGGAATGGAGCAACGCATGCAGGATGGCCCAGGCTCTTGCTTCCAGATAAGAAACAGGAGGGCCATCCTCACGTGACTCGTCAGCGAGGATAAGGGACACCATCTCCCCGAACTCTCCGTCCAAAGTACCATATTTGTCAACTAAAGTGTCGATTGATTTCGCTACTTGTTCCAAGACCTGCGTGATAAGCACGAGGCAAATTAAGAAGAACAAAGAATTGGCACTAAAATACCATCGCATTAAGCCGTCCGTTGGCTAGATCCCTGTCTAGTGCCTTTACGATAGATTTACACAATCGTCCGCCGACGCCGTTTAATCGTTGCCTGAACGCAATGCTCAGCGAATCCGGCGCACCGGCAAGAACAAGAGCCGTCGCAATTGCCTGCACTTCATCCTGACTGGGAAATTTCTTTCCCGAAACGTCAGCCTTGCTGCGCAGCTCACATAATAGATACTCAAAAATGATGGCAAAGAGGTTTCTCTTGGCAGCGGGGCTACTCACTAACGAATACTACATACACAGAAACAGAACAAGTAAGCGGTCAATATTCACGTGCTCAGAATTTTACCTCTTTGCAAATCAGTTCGACGCCACCAATGGCTTCCAGCCTGTTAATATCAAAAACTGCATTCCCATCTTGAGAGCTATCTGTAGGTTTCGCACCGTACAGCATATTGCACAGCATGCAGATCAGTCGACAATGAATTTCTTCGGCCCACGCATTGTCTCGGCTGATTTCCAGCAAAGTCCTCAGGATCTGAAATGGTAACAAGCCAGTTAGAGCACCAGTACAAACCAGATAATATTACCCGGATATCCAGGTTCTCCAGCCGCTCTCTTCTGATACGGCCCCGGTCGCAAACCAAATACAACAGAGCGCTCATAGAGGCAGCCCAAATAGATTCTTCTTTTTCTTCCAGCTGACAGAACAGAATGAGAAAAATAGAGAGGACAAAGTTTTACCTGGAGTAGAAAGAGCATCATCTCGCAGAGAATGATAAGGAGCCACGCCTCGAATTCCTCTACGCCACGAGGTCTTCCGTGCTTAACATCCTCCGTTGTCCCTGTCGGAAAACCGTCTTGGTCATCACTTTGCACTGGTTCAAGAAGGTGCGCATGGACTCCCAGGTTAAATACAAGGTCGAAAGCACGAACCCGAACAGTCACAGGACCCGAACTTAGCATCACCTGAGAAAACACAGCAAAAAGTAAAATAAGGAAGGAGACAATATAATGGTAAGAAGAGAGATACTTGGAGAACTGAAAGCGTCAAAGGCGCCGCTGTCCTAGCATCGGCAAGATACCTGCACGGCACAAAATATTGGTCTATGGGGCAAGCGGGAGTACACCACCACTCACATGTCAATTATAAGCTTGATCAGAACGCTCCCTGCAACATTTGCTGTATCGCCACTCCGGCTGCTTGGCAGGGACGGAGCTAAGGCCAAAGTGGGGCTACTTGCTTCAGCGCAAACCGCAGCAATAACTTCCTCGATATCAGCATCGCTCAAGCGCAAAGGTTGCTGTTTACTATCAGCCGGGCAGGTCACCAGGAAAACACTTTCGGAAGACGCTCAACATTTAACTCGCATTTACCTATAGCATCTGTACTGGAAGAGAGGACGCGGACGCTTCCGCATGGTAGTCGAAGGTTCACCACCCCTGAGAATGAGCTGTAAGAGGCATGATCACATGAAGCAATGACGAGCATACCAACGAGTAACGGGCTGACGCTTGGAAGCAGCAACATCCCGCAGATGCGACTTCACTGCTGCCGAGTCCCCTATGGCCGCTGCTGTAGATGCACGCAGAAGCTGGTCGAGCCTAGATTCCTCAGTGCTGCCAGCAGTGGTGGTGGTGCGTTTGAGCCAGAGAACGCCAATGCCTTGTTCCAGATTGTCCACATTATCCACATTTGGCCTCGCAATGCCACCGCTGCCTTTGCCATGCACGGCGGTGAGTACCAGCACACAAGTGAGTAGAGAAGTCCTACCTGTCTGTCATAACCGGTGAAGGCATCCAGAGCTGGCTTCCCTTTGGCAGGATCCAACGCCACTTGAGCACATCGGCGGCCATGTAGACGCCGTTGTCGTCGTGGATGGTGGCTAGAGCGAGCATGGGCCTTGCGAACTCCTTGTCATCCGTAAGAGGCGGCTGGAAGTGCGCAGTGAGCAGCCTGCTGCGCGGAGAGGGCGGAACGGGCTGGAGCTTGAGAGAAGGTGACGAGGCCGAGTGCTGGCGCAAGGAGAACCCGGGAAGGTGGCGCGCGACAACGGCACGCACGTACGTAAGTGACTTGAGGAGAGGTTCCGACGCGAAGACGGACGGCGTGGAGGGGGGCGGCAGTGGCGAAGGTCCAGGGGAGCACGACGTGGCCCTGGTGGCGGCTCGCTTCCCTGACGCAGCATTACACTCGTTGATGAGAGACGCACAGAAGGAATCAATTTGCTGGAGCGTAGTTATGGGAGGGACATATCTGTGTTGGAAAGCAATGTGAGAAAAGCAAAGAGCAAGCACCGAGGGCGCGTCTACCTGAAGAGATATCGCTTGAGCAACGCCACACACTTGATCACCACTGGAGGGCTGGCGGACAAAACAAAAGCACACCAACTAGTAAGTATTGAGAGCAGTGAGTGAGTAAACAGAGACCTCCGATCCCTCTCGGCGAGTGCGTGCTCCAAGAGGACAATGTAGGCGAAGTGAATGGTGGAGGGATTGGCGAGGTAGTCCTGGTGGTGACCAACACAAGCTTATTGCATCATCAAAGACCATAATCAACCTGGAGCGTTCGAACGGGCTCGGAGGTGAGCGGGGGGAGCGAGGCGTGATGCGATGCTGACAGACAATCGGCAACGGCTCGTCGAAGCGGCTCCGGAGCCTTCCTCTGGTGCTGATGCTGCTGCTGCTGACGCCCCCGCACCATCTGTGGCTGCTGCTGCTGCTGCTGCTGCTGCTGCCTGAGCTGCGGGGATCCACCCGACAGCATCATATGAAGCCGGCTGCCCGACCTGGGCTGCCGTGGCGATGGAGATCCTCCTCCGTCGTCCCTCATCTTTGACATGAAACCCTACTTAGCTAGCCTAGACTTAGAGAGGCGAGTGAAGTGGGTTTGATTCATCGGCGCCGGGCCAACTAAAAAGTACAGCGAGAGAGAGAGAGAGAGATCTAGCTCAATTCTGGCAGCGGGCACGCTGCCTCGAATTCCTTTTGCTTCTGCCGGCACATCTCCAAGTCCTTGGAGTAGTAGTCCATGCAGCCCGTGTACGACTCCATCTCCTTGCCACAGGTGGCATGGAGCTCCTTGATCCTGCAAGCACACAAGCACACAAGCACAGTGGTGGTGGTGGTGGGCGAGGGGGGCGAATAGCGCTACTCACAAGCTGGAGACGCAGCCCATGACCTGGTGGCCCTCGTCCAGGCACTTCTCCGGATCCCTCAGGCTGCGCTTGCACTCCATGAAGGCTTTGTTCTGCGCCGTGCATCGCCGGGCCACATGCCGGGCCACCGACATGAGAACCGGCGTGGTGGGCAGCGGGGGCTTGCTTCCCTGCTCCATGCGCCCCTGTGCTATAGGTCAAGCTAGGGTTTTGCGCTCTATGGCCACCAACCTGCTGGCGATGAGCACCACCACCTTGTCCTGCCGCTGCACTGCCCCGCTGCGCTGCAGCGCCATGGGCAACAGCAGCAGGGAGGCTGCGGCATCCTACAGGGAAGGCCCGCTGCTGGACGCCGCGTTCCTGTCCTTGCTTCGCAACAAATTGGCACAGGTGGGTGTGGCGTGCTGCGGCATTCGCGCTCGTAACCCTGGCTAGGCAGGAAGTGGGACGCGACGCGGACAGGCCTGGCTACGACGGCTTGATTCAATTGTCCCAGCTTCTCATGGCAAAATACAAGGCCAAGTCCGATGTGGAGCAAGCCACGGTAAGATGGAAGAATCGTGTCCTCCTCCTCCGTCTGACGCTCGTTGCTCTCTCTGAAAGGTGCGCATTCTCAACTCCATGTTTCCACAGTCGTTGCTGCGCCTCTTTAGAGCCGTGGTGCTACCTATCAACAAGGGAAAGCTTGCAGCCATCCTTTCCGGTACGCCACTCGCCTCCGCGGCTTGAGACCATTTTCACGAGCTGTTTGAGCAGCTAGAGTGACTCAAGCGACTTGTCAATGGCTCATGGGAACCTGTTCTATCAGCAGTGTGGAGCTGTCGGACGGAACCTCCATTCCAAGCGGGGTACGTGCTTAAATGGATGGTGCTAATGGTAATTCGTTTCTAGGTTCTCGTCGAAAAGTGCAAATACCTGGAGCACTCCAAGTGCGCTGGTATCTGCATCCATACTTGCAAGTTGCCCACGCAGGTGTGCATCGCATTAAATCTGTAAGTCTCACACCGCTGGCTCCTTGGTTCCAGGCGTTTATCAGCAAGGAATTGGGAGTGCCACTGCTCATGGAACCAAACTTCGCCGACTTGAGTTGTCAGGTAAATGAATTTGCTGCTTTTGAAACTCTGACCTTGGCGCGCCTACCAGTTCAAGTTTGGCGTGGAAGCCCCTTCGCCGGAGGACGATCCATCGGTTTCAACGCCGTGCCTGGAAATGTGTCCCACCGCCATTGCTCGCAAGAGCAGCACACCCCTGTGTCCCAAGGTGAATGGATGGATGGTCTGTGGTGACACCCACCAAAGAGACGTTTCATTTTGCAGGTCTAGGGAGCAACTGCTACTAACGAGCGCTGCCATAGGATATGGATGATCTATCTGCTATGTGTACTGCTTAAGATACTCAGACGCAACCAGGCGTCCTCGAGTGTTCACAGAGAGCTTAAGCTCACTTATCTCCTTGTCAATATCCTGCAGAGCAAACGTTTCAGACGGCTAGCCAACCCCAATCTCGCAGCTCACCTCCATAAACCTGGCAATGAAGTCAATCAGCCTGTGCTTGTTCATCTCTTCACAGTGTTGGTTGGTGATCAAGAAGCTGATATCGTAGCCCTGTGGTCAATCAGTTAGACGCGCAGCGAGCATGAGGACGATACGAAGTTACCTGTACAGGCTTTCTCCGAAGAACTTGAAAGGATTCGGCCCTCATGGCTAAGAACCTCAAGAACTTCTTGGTGAGGATGTTTTCCAGCTCGTCAGCTTGTTTGACCTGCGCATTCATTTTCATGCCCGCATGCTTCTTCTGGATGCGCTTACCTTGATGCTGATTCGCAGGGAGTTGATCGACGTTTCAATCAAGCATTTTTCTGCTTCGTTACGGCAGATTAAGATCTGGGAAGCAAACTAGAGTCCAGTGCAAATGCAAGCAAGAGAGCAGTCGGCTTACGGGATTAAGGAGTAGCTCCGTGTTGGTTCTGCTCCAGCAAGGATGAACATTTTGAGTGGAGAGAAGAAGAAATCACACCAGGCAAAGCTTACTTGAACTCAACTTCGGGCTTGTTATGTCGCTCCACATCTTGACATGGGAAATTCTACAGCTAGCGAAAAGAGTAAAAATGGATTCAGGCATGGATCTGATCGCCCACCTGGAGACTCATGGCCGCAGTAAGCGTGTTCCTGATGCATGTCAGATACGGCCTCAAAGTGTTCGCCTTTGCACGCAAACACAAATGTAAGCTTGCACTCAACTTAGACAGGCGAGCGACACAAACCATCGCCCTCGATCCTGAATCCCCTGTAGAAAAGAGCCCTAGGCTTAAAACGTGGATATGTTTCGTATAAGAGGCGGTGAAGACAAATCTAAAGCTTTTATATTGACTAAGAACAAGAGCCTCTTGGAGTTCAATCGCATCTAGTAGCAAATTTTCATCTCCCAAATCGTGGTGCTCGAGCTCTCCTCCCGCCAGCTTGTAAAACACTTGTCGCTGGGTGGGTCGATTGCAATGACTATCCCAAGCTTTGCACCTCCTTTGTCCACAGCCGTGAGGATCTCCTGAAAAGAGAGTCAGGATGCTCGTTGTGCCTGCATACCTGTGCTGGAATGATCGGCTTAGAGTCTTTGAAAGGTTGCTCACAAACAAGAAAACCAACCTGCTGAAGCCCACGCTCTAGTTCCAGTAGCCCGCCACTCGTGACGGCCTGTTTGCGCCAAAGCCATTGTTAAGCGCGCCATGGTGCATGCTGGGATCGTATTGGATGTAGAGCGTCCCTGTCCCAGAGCTGTTTTTGATCCATAGGCTTGTATTTGTTCCGAGCTGCTCATCGCATCGTCAAGCAACTTAAGCATGCTCTGAATCTCCACAAGAACGGTGTATCTCGCGTTGGGGACGCTCGGCACGTCATTTTGGTTGGCGTGGTGGTTTGGGGTTTAAAATTCAATCATGGGCCACATCACCAACCATTTACCCCCTTGATTTGATTTTTGATTTATATAGTTTTAAGGTAACCAGAAAGGTTTGCCTTTCATATAAGCTTGTCATCAGGAGTTTCTGATCACTCTCTTTTCTACGTTTCAAAAGCGGACGACAAAGCCAAGATATTCCTCTTGGATTTTGGCGTCGTTACAAGACAAAGGCGCGAGGGATTTGCAATCCGATTTGGGGAGATTTGGCTGAGAGGAGGACAGCGACATGGAACCCCCCAATTGCAACAGTGCTTATTTTAGTTCGTCTGCGATTCAAGCAATCTTTTTTTCTGGAGGTTAGCCAAGAATCTTGCAGGCTAGCTACCTTTTTTCCTCGTCTGCCAAATCCTAGTGTGGGGTGCGTGGTTAATTTTGTTGGACGGCACCGGCAATAGAAGTGTACTGTATAGAGTGAGTAGGAGTCAAAGAGATGTTGTTGCGATGGGCCCGCCTCACCCAGCCTCTGAGACGGAGTGCCATGGAAAGACCTCGAGACCATCAGTTTGTACTCGACATCAGAAGGTAAGTGGTTGACGTAATACGGTTTCGTTTTTTGCAAAGAGTTTTGATTATTTTAAAAAGAGCACACGGAAGTCTTTTTACTTCTTTGCTGGATACGGCGCAAAAATAACAGACGAGTTGTGTCCGCCGAAACCGAACGAGTTGGACAGGGCCACTTTGACGTCCAGCTTCTGTTTGTTGGCACCAACGATTACCTCCATGTTCTGCGAAGACCGTCAACGAGCAACAAATTGTTATCAAAGCGATCGTAATCTAAAGGCTGAGATTACTTACCACGTCCTTCTCGGGTGTATCGATGTTGATTGTGGGATGCACCCATCCACTTCGGATTGCCTAGAACACACACGCACTTTTCACTTTAATCCTGAAACATTTGAAGGCAAGTACCTGAATCGTTGCAATCGCCTCAACACCCCCTGCTGCTCCTAGCAAGTGCCCTGTCATGGACTTCGTGGAGTTGACTTTAATCTGCGCCACAACGCAAATGAGCGTTACTGAATGAAGCTCGTTCTGTTGAAGAGTACCTCGGAATTACTGCCGAAGCACCGCATAATAGCCTTGTACTCCTGGACATCGCCAGCCTGGGTGGAAGTTGCATGAGCATTCACATAGTTGACGTCTTGTCTATCGACGCCAGCTTGGGCCAGCGCCTTCTCAATGCAGAGCAAGATACCCGCGCCTGCTTGAACACGGTTATAAAGAAGAAACTCAAAAAGAAAAGGGAAAAAAAAACATTTAACACCTTCGGGATGGGGCTCCGTCATGTGATACGCATCGCAAGTCGAACTTCCGCCTAGAAACTCCGCATATATCTCGGCACCTCGCCTCTGCATTGTTTAGATTGTTCACGCTCCTCGACTGCAAACGTTCAAAGACCCACCTTGGCGTGTTCCAACTCCTCCAAGACGAGGACGCCCGCACCCTCCCCCATCACAAACCCGTCTCGGCCCTGCAAAACCATTGCTACATAGTAAAAACTCTGCCACTGTGCACAAGTGCATGCAACTCACCTCATCCCACGGGCGAGAAGCTCTTGATGGTTCGTTGTTACGCTGAGACAATGCCCTGCAGGCAACAAATCCTCCGAGGCCTATAGTGGATGAAGTTGAGCAGTCAGTTCACGGAGCAACGCTGGACACGTAGTGTCCAGAATGACATACCGATAGGAATGATGGCTGCATCAGATCCACCAGCAAGCATCACGTCCTGTGCAGAAAGGCTTTCTATAATTGTGTCAAAAAGATTCTAACTCGATCAAATCTCTCGTTACCGCTTCGCCTCTGACAATGTGATTGGCGGCGCTCAACATGCAATAGTTGCTGGTTGCACAGGCCGTCGAGATGGAGTAGTTCGGCCCCATCCAACCCTGGTCAGAAAATGAGATCCCTTAACTCTGTGTTTCGCCGTTCCAACGCGTACATACCAGATCCATCGCTAACATCGCGGAACCCATATTTGTTGTCGCAAACGGAACACAAAACGGGTTCATCTTGCGGTATGACACTCTGAGAGCCTCGATTGCATCGCTAAACACCTGGCACAACGCAAGGGAAAAACAGAGCCACGACAAGAGTTAAGAGTAGACTAACAACAGAAAGAAAGAGACTTTAGTGGTGACACACACACACACACACACACACACCTGCATGCCTCCCATTGCAGAACCAATGAGAACCCCGCACTTCGTCTTGTCGAGCTGGTCTATCACGTCCCGAGTCATTCCAGCGTCCGCTACAGCTTTCTTGCCAGCCGTGAGCAAGTAGAGCATGAACTTGTCCATGCGCTTACAAAACTTGGGGGCCACCCAGCCATCGGGCGAGAAGTCTTTGATCTCGCCGGCAATCCTCTGGTGCAAAGAGACAAGAGTAAATCAAACAAAGAGTGAATCGAGTTCCAGGATCCTCACAGTAGGAAAATCTTTGCAGTCGAAGTTCTCGATCTCTGTTATTCCACTTGTGCCGCGGAGCAGATTCTCGTAGAAAGCATCCGGCTCGTGTCCAAGGCAGGACACAACACCCATTCCCGTGACAACGACCCTCCGTTTCTTGGTCGCCACAACTTTCCTCTCCACGCTCTCCTTGACAGGTTGCACAGGTTGCATAGGTTGAACAGCCACTGCCATGTTTCTTCCTGCTGCAACCCATAGCGAATCACTAGTTAGTATGAGCAACCATTCTCCCAATGCAAAATCCAAAATCTCATTCTCGTGCGTGCGTGCATGCATGCATGCATGCAACCAAGGCTTGCAGGCTGAGCTCGCCACGATCGACTTAGCAGCACTAAGTGGTACCAGTGACAGGCAGCACCAAGTCAAACAAGAGCAGTGACCTCGATACGAATGCGATGGAAATGCGAGCGTACCTGGCGCTGCTGCTGTTGCTCGAGGACCTCGTCTCCTAGACGGCCTGGACGACGACGACGACGACGACGAGGGAGCGGCAGCGAAGAAGGAGGGAGACCACTTTGCGGAGCGATGGTACTCGGGGCATGCCTCGAAAGAGAGGCACGATCCCAATCCCGACAGACCTGATTCGTAAAGCGCGACCACAGCTCCTGCCATGGATGTTGGGGGGGGGGCGGCGGCGGCGGCGGTGGCGGTGGCGTGGAGCTGCTGTAGATCGCGAGCTCGTCGCCGGGATCTCCTGCTGCCAGCGGGAGGCGGAGCCATTGAAATGGAGGAGGAATTGAGGTCTCCGCCGCAGATCCCATGGGTGAGGCACGCCGCAATCAGCCACGTACACAAGGGTGCGGCTGCTGCGCCCACCATTGCCATTGCTCGTGGTTGCTCCTCTCCTCCTCCTGCCTTCCTTCTCCCTGCGCCTAAATAACTAGTAGGAATAGTAGGCTGTTTTAATTTTAAGGTCTCCGTCTCCCACGTTATTTATTTTTATTGAAACTCCAGTGAGCCAATGGCGACACACACATATCCCTCCTCGTCCGCTCATTTCTCTCCTCTCGCCTTTGTTGCTGATAAGCAGCTCGCTCAGTGGCTACACGACGAGCCCCCTAAAACCCTCTCAAATCTCTTTTTATTCATCCCTGCATTTGAGCCTTGGCACCCTGCAGCATCGGGATGAGCTTCCCCTGACTGTGAAGGCGGTGCGTATCTGTAGACAGACAGATTGGAATTGGAAGAAAGAAAAGGAAGTCATTCTACGGTAAAACAAGATCCAAGTACTTGGTTGTAACATACCATCACATCCCCCGACATGCTTTCCACCTGAGAATGCCACGGAGGGAGGAATTCATTAGACAAAGCAAGCAAAGAGTTTGCTCACCAATAAACACGTTGGGCACCGTTGATTGCCCGGTCATTCTTTTCAAGGCTGCCTGGACGTCCGCCTCCTCAACTAAGACACAAATCCAAAACAAACCATCAGATCTTCGAGTCGGATCCAAGAGACGAGCTACAGAGAGAAAAACCAGTCACCGAGCTCGTCCAATTCCACGACCACCACCTTCACTCCCAGCTTCTTAAACAGGCCCTTCACCTTGCTGCAATAGCTGGTCTCAACACACAAATCAAGTCCCGAGTAAAATAACATGAGAGAAAGAAACTTTGAAGGAGAAAACTTACGGGCACCACGACTTGGAGTAAATGACAACGGGATTGTGCTCGTTCTTGCTCTTGATGAGATCATCCGTTTGAGACTGGGAGCTAGACATACTCTTCACCACAACGGATCGCCCGATCTCCCTGTTTTGCCGTCGAAGGAGCCGGAAATCCGTGGTGCGATGCCGGCATTGCATCGCATTTGGTGAAGGATTGACGCGATTCGCCCATGCCTCGCCCGCGCTCCCCTTGACTGCTACCGCCCTTGGAGCACACAAGGAGGAAGCCATGCCCTAAAATGCGCCCATAGGTCACGGGTTCGACACTCTTTAGCCCCAATCGTTTGAAATATTTCTTTCCGTTGGAGCCCTGATAGCCTAAAAGCTTTGGCGAGGCGGAGAAGCGGGAAAGTGGTGTCTTGCTCGTGGCTGTCTAGGTTAGGGCATCCATCGATCGACGCAGCTGTGGCGAGCAGGATCGCAAGCTTCTCGCCGTCGGCCATGGCGGGCCGCCACGAGAAAGACAAGGACAAGGGCGTCAATGTCCAGGTTCTACTGCGATGCAGGTAAGAGAATGCTTGATCTGGCCTCCGCCGCTGCCCATCTCTCTGTTCTTGCTACTCCAGGCCCTTCAATGACGACGAGATCAAGGCGAATGCGCCCCAAGTCATCTCTTGCCATGACCAACGCCGTGAGGTCACTGTGTACCAGAACATCGCCAGCAAGCAAATTGACAGGACATTCACATTTGACAAGGTGCCTCGTCCCTTTCTCTCTTTCCTTTTTTCCCTCTTTGCTCTTCCGCCGCGAGGAAAGCTCAAACCCACGTAAGTGCAGGTCTTTGGTCCTTCTTCTCAGCAGCGCGATTTGTATGATCAAGCAATCATTCCCATTGTGAACGAAGTTCTCGAAGGCTTCAACTGTACCATTTTTGCGTATGGACAGACCGGAACGGGGAAAACTTACACTATGGAGGGAGCAGGAAGAAAACCCAAGGTATGAATATCGATGCCTTTCTTATCTAGAATGTCTATCTCATCTTTATGGTTCCAGAGCGGGGAACTCCCTTCTGAAGCTGGAGTTATTCCAAGAGCGGTTCAACAAATCTTTGACACGCTAGAAAGCCAGAATGCCGAGTACAGTGTCAAAGTCACGTTTCTGGAACTTTACAACGAAGAAATCACAGACTTGCTCGCACCTGAGGAACTTTCGAAGGTGATGGGAGACGAGAAGCAGAAAAAGCCTTTGGCTCTGATGGAGGACGGGAAGGGAGGAGTACTTGTCCGGGGTCTTGAAGAGGAAATCGTGACCAGTGCAAACGAAATTTACAGCCTTCTTGATCGGGGATCTTCTAAAAGGCGAACAGCAGAAACGCTTCTAAACAAGCAATCGAGGTACGCCCCTAGAAGGTTCTGGCTAAGTACGAATCTGTATTCTTTGTGTTGTTGCAGCCGTTCACATTCCATATTTTCAATCACGATTCATATCAAAGAAGCAACACCTGAAGGCGAGGAGTTAATAAAATGTGGCAAGCTGAACTTAGTCGACTTGGCTGGCTCAGAGAATATTTGCCGCTCTGGAGCTAGGGAGGTGAGTGTGGCTCTAGTCAGTGATCATGACATGACTCCCATGGTTTGTTGTCAGGGGCGTGCTAGAGAAGCCGGAGAAATCAATAAGAGTCTACTGACGCTTGGACGGGTCATAACTGCCCTTGTTGAACATCTCGGCCACATTCCATACAGGTTAGTGACTGTGACTACGAAGAAACGACTGCTTGCTAAATATAATGGTGCTTTGAGCAGGGACAGTAAGCTCACGAGGCTTTTACGAGACTCTTTGGGCGGCAGAACAAAAACGTGCATTATTGCCACCGTATCTCCGTCTGTGCACTGCCTAGAGGAAACACTCAGCACGTTGGATTATGCTCATCGAGCTAAGAACATCAGGAACAAACCAGAGGTACGAGCATTGTAAAATGTTACCGCAATTCCGATCTCTTCTCTTGGCATAGGTTAATCAAAAGATGATGAAGTCTGCACTGATAAAGGACCTCTATGGAGAAATTGAAAGACTGAAATCAGGTGGGGTCTTGTTTTTCTCTTATGTGTTTACTGATTTATGGAGCAGAGGTTTATGCTGCTCGGGAGAAAAATGGCATCTATGTGCCTCGTGAACGCTACTATCAAGACGAAGCTGACAAGAAGGTATGATTTTCGACTCAACCTTCATGCCTTCTAGAAGAGTTTCTTGTCAGGCAATGACAGAGCGTATTGAACATATGGAGTACGAGATTGAAACGAAAGACAAGGTAAAAATGACCTGTATTTCCGACATAATATGTGTTTTTCTTCGCTTCAGCATCTAGATGAGATTCAAGAGTTATGTGAACGAAGGCAACAGCACAACACCGAACTACAAGCAAAGCTTGTCGAGACGCAGGTTTGATTTTTGTTCTTATTGCTATATACACTTCAATATTCGTGGCTTTCAGGCTAAACTTGAGGAAACTGTCGAAACTCTTTCGACGGCAAAAGAAAATCTTAGGCAAACCCTTTACGCAGTTCATGGTCGTGAATTTGTCATTTCTCGGCAACAGGATGCAGGTTTGTTGTATTTTCCAATTTAATAGTTACACAAACTTTCTGCTGCAGAGACTGTTCTGGTCGAACAAGCGTGCAAGCTTTGCGGCGACTTAGAAACCGCAGCTAAGGAGATTGACGGTTTATTCCAAAAAATAGGTGTGTTGGTTGCAAGTTTATTGGGTATCACTATCGTTATACTTTGTTCAGAGAGAAAGGGCACGTTGGAGTCGTACAACAAAAAACTAGTCGGGACGTTTCGTGAAGAGCTTTCTGTGCACCTTCAGTCCCTAAATTGTTCGTTAGGCACATTTTTGTCTCAGCAGCAAAAGCAATTGCAAGCGCTTGAACAACAACTGGGAAGTTTCATGTCTTCCAGGAATGAGGTGCGGCTGTTATTTTGGTTCCGCATTGATTTTGATTTTCGTTTCTGTGTTTCTAGAATGTTGACGATTTGAAAGAGAGGTTGGAAGGCTTGAAGAGAACCTGTTGTTCTAGACTTCAGTCTGTTCATGGTATTGTTGGTGAACACCAGCAAGATGCCGTTCATACTTTGGACAAGATTCAGACAGCTGTTTCAACTCATTACGCTTCTACTTCAGATGTAAGAACTTTTTCTTTTTACTTGTTTTATATTTTGTGTTCGTGTTTCAGCTACTTTCTGCCGTTGCTTCACAAGCCGATGGAACTCTGGAAATGTTCGAATCGCATCTTTCTGAGCAGCAGCGTGAACTGGCTTTGTTTGCACAGCAGCAAAGAGAGGTCTGTGTTCACCTTATTAGAATGATCTTGAGTTAACTATCTGCTGCGCAGAGCTGCCGTCACAATGCAGAAGCTGCAAGCGCGGTCCTGACTCTGATGGTGGAGTTTTGTGGGAAGTTGAGAGAAGATGTTACTGAAATGGGTCGTATGATTGATGAAACTCATAAGACTCGCCATGAGCTGCTTTCTGGCCTTTCACTCGAGTATCAGGTGCGTTGAGCATTTATGCATAAGATCGATCTGATTTTTAACTTCTTACGACAGGAAATGTCTAAAAGAGAAGAGAAACACCTGCAAGACGAAATCAGCACCTTGCTGGTTAGTGTTATGGACCGAAGTAAGAAAATGGTAATGTCCAGTATAATCTTTGATAGCTTTAGTTTAATTTACTTTCGTGGTGTAGGTGGCTGAGCGGATCAACTCTTTGATGGAGGCATCTGCAAAGGATACACAATGCATACGCAAAAGTGTTCTTGACGCTCAAGTGGCCGTTTCCCATACAGAGGACCGTCTCAACATCTTTGTAAAGGAAGCTGATGTCAATGCACGTGATGCGTCTGCTTTGCTGGCAGCCAGACACTGTCACATGGAGGAGCTTCTTCAGCAAAGGTACATTTGCGTTGAACATATTTGCGCTGAGCTGATCCCCTTATTCCCAGTGTCAAAGACACCGGTGTTGCCGCAGACAAATGGAAATCGTCCTTGGGCTCTTTGCGAGTTCTTGGAGAAAACAACGTTCCTGTTGTTGCTGCAATATTCGAGTTCGTTTTGCCGTTCAAAGCTTCCTGTGCATGGTAATATCTACGTTTGTTTCAGGGAAGCGCACAAATCGGAGTGTCTATTCTCGACAACCTTGGGCGCCGCAAACATGTTGGCACAAGAAGAAGTGTCGTCGGAGATAGGATCCATTTCGACGCATACCAACAGTAAGCTTCTTCCTCCCTGTGTAGCTAGCTGCCAGGTACATTCTTTTAACTCTTGGTATATACAGATGTCCATGCCACTGAGCATGAGGTGCTCTTGAGTGTCCAATCGCATATTGGATCGCATTGCCGACAGCTGAAAGACATGGAAATGGAGCACACCAAGAGCGTGGAAGAAATAACGGGCACCGCGGACACGTATCTGTCAAGCAGATATAAGGTACACTTGGTTACGTCCTGAGCTTGTTAACTAACAACTGACTCTCTGCTTGGCAGGAGGATCAACCGACGTGTACGACACCAAGAAAGCGTTCAATCGAGATTCCTACGAGCGCGTGCATTCAGCAACTACGAGCACCACACTCGGATGTCCTGCTGCAGGAGTTTCAAGACAAGCACAGCCCCAGGAAGCATCCAAGGCAAGAAAATGCCATGGCAAAAGAAGGCGCGAAAGCATTCACATCCTTGGAAGCAGCCAAGCGGGAAACCAGGATTCCTCTCACTGCAGTAAACCGTATGGAGCTCTAGAGAGGCTGAGAAGGTACCGCAAGCAGCTAGTTACGATTCCTTGTACAATAATTTATAGGATGGACGTTGGCTAGCTCGCCACTCGAATCCTACGGTTTTCTCCCGTGTCTTTTTATTTTTTTGCTTCTTTAAAGACTTCTTCCTTCATTACGATAGCGTGTAAAGTCGTCGATTTTTATAGTCAAGAAAAGAGGAAAAAGAAGAAAAAACCATCCAAAATGAATACACGCGATTTTTATCAACAGCCTCACGCCAGGTATCTGAACATGTTGGGATTATCCTTGTCCCGTTCCAAATACTCCCGGGCAATGAGGTCCTCCATCCGCTTCTTTATGATCTTGAAATCGGGCTGTTTCAGGAGTATCCAGATGAGCGAAGCAAAAAAAGAAATTGACAAAAGTTTACCTTGAACATCCTCCCTAGTTGCTCAACGCACTCGAGAACAAGCTGCTGGTGCGGAAGCACTTTCCGGCTCTTCATTATCCGAACGATGGAGGCATCGATCGCATAGCGCCTGTCCTTGTCCACGTCCTCGATGACTTTCTTTTTCTCGTCCATTGGAGGCAGCGGGATCTGGAGTCACAAACGTCTTAAGATCACAAGACTGCAAGATATTTTAGACAGCTTGCCTTGATTCGGCGCATCTTGTCCGTGAACTTGTTGTTGAACTCAAAGGTGTCGCTCCCACTAACTGTCTTGGTGTTAGGCTCCTTGTTGAGGATCTTATACTTGGCACAAGACAGCGAATGTAAAAGTCGGACGATATCCTCGTCGGTAAGGTTTAGCTGCCCTTTGATATCTGAATAGCTCAGCCTTTCGGCAGCATTGAACAGCAGTAGTACGGCAGCCTGCGAGCATTGCATGTTTTTAGGTTTGTATGCTCCATAAGGAAAAGGCTCACCTGGTACGTTGTGACAACGAGCTCTATTTGCTTGGGTTCAAACTTCCCAACAATGTTGCACGTTCCCAGGGAATATATCCAGGTCAGCTTTCTGTGCTTTGTCTTGGTTTGGTAGAATTCCTTGAATGTCTCAACACACTTGACCTGCAAGCTGCCGATTGAGCATCGTTATCACAAACAAAACGAGACAATGCACTGTACCATTTCGGATGGTAAAGCAAGGTCTGAAGACTTGTAGCTCGGCCAAAATCCTGTCGTCAAGACCGTCACCGTCAGGTCAATACCCGGGTTGGACTGAGGATTCTCGGACAGATACTCCTCGAAGAGAGTTTGGTTCTCTCTCGCCAGGGTCAAATCAGTAACCTGAATACATGCGTGAGTCATGCGTGAACCAAAGTGGTAAGACTGATGGATACATACCATACCCTCCATCTTCGATGTAAACTGACCACCGCATTGTTGTTTCAACTTGGTCAGTATGCTGCGTTCGTGATCGTCGTTCGCACTCTTGTCAAAGAGAAGCCTCCGCGCAAGCTTCTTTCTGGATATCAAAGTGTCAGAAACTAGAAATGAAGAACAGCTTTTGTAACCTGTAAAACTCCGCAAAGAGGTCCTTGTCGCTGATATACGCGAGAAGTTTGACGACCTGTACCGTTTTGCTACATCAGTACAAATCAGTGACAGCTTCATGAGCATACCTTCTCGAGCGTATCTTCAATGGCTTCATCGCTAAGCTTTTCACTCCCGCCTTTCTTCAAGAGGTTATCGCAGAAAGTTGCTAGCAACTCAGCACTTGTGCTTCCCCCAACACCTTTGTTGCAGAAGACCTCAAATGCTTCTTTCAAAGCCTAAAACAAAGGACACGTTGTTTAAACTAGGAAAACGTTCGCAAGTTACCTTGTGGAAAAGGGAGTGATTAACAAAGCACTCGCTGACATATTGCAAATATTTGTCATGCAGCTCAATCACTTTCCGAACAAAAGCCTGGGGAGAACATTTAAGATATAGCATCTATGGACAAAATTAAAAGGCGACACAATACCTGCTCCTGGACACCAACAGTATCCTTCTTATCAGCCTTTTTGCTGCTGGCCGCATCTTCAGCTTGCTTGACTAGTGTAGTTCCCTCCTCCGTTACGTGCTGTCATACACACACATATATCAATTGTCAACAAAGATTTATTACACGCAATACCATTCGAAAGATTGCAGCAACGGGCTCCAACCCTTTCGGGATGCGACAGAAAAGCCTGTACATTCTCGATAAATCTTCCACCTGGAGAATCAATGTTAGTCTGCTGAGCCACAGAGGAGTGAAATCGTACTTTGTCGTCCCTTAACAAAGCATGGCAGCCAGAATGTTCCTTCTCAAGGAGCTGTTGCTCGTACTGTGAAAGCAACTCTTGTTGTACTTTCTGCTCACCACACAAACGGTCCTTGTGAAATCAGTTTTCGAACCACAAAAATCATTTACCTCGAGTAGCTTCGATTCACTGCTTGAGTGCAAGTAGTGTCCAACTCTTTCCTTCTCCCTTTTCAGGCATTCCTCCGCCTGCAATGCGACAAATGTGTATGGCGAAGACAAGAATGCACCTCGATACCTTGAGCATGTAGTCCGGACAAGAGTCCTCCTCAATCCATGACGCTGCTTTTCGAGAGTAGTATGCCGCGGTGTCTTGTAGCATGGGAGCCTCGAAGTCAGCTTCATACGCCTCCATGCTCCCCATGCCAATCTCCACAAAGATTCCCAGAACATTTTTAAGCAATGCCCTGTCAATTTGTTCGCCTTCACGCTCTCTGTCGATCTGTCGGCAACTCGTAAGTCATGTAAAACGACACACAAGTTTCCACTTACCAAGGTGATCACAGCATCTTTCACGTTGTTTTTCATTTCTTGATACACCTGTAAGCGAGCGGTAAGCCAAAGCAGCTCAAACGAAAGAGAATACCAACCAAGTCCCTAAAACACATTAGTCCAACTTCACCGAGGGCTGGAAGCGAGCGTCTAGCAATGAAGTAGCGGTCCAAGTAGTTAAAGAAGCGAGAGAGCCATCGGACCATTATCTTGTGGTTGTCCCATCGTTGGACCAGCTCCCTGAGCATGAACTCGTTGTGCTTCTCTCGGAGCGCGGGCATCACCTGTGATTGACAGTGTTAGCAGCTGCAAGAAACAAAGCGTACCATCAGTACCATGGAATTGATGTACTCCTCAAAAGCTTCTCTGTATCGATCATAGAGCTGCTGCGAGTAGTCCTGGGGAGGCTTTTGGGTACACATGTTGTAGATAGTCCTGCAGTGACAGAAAAGGGAAGTGTCGGTCAGATGGAAAGAGGAGAGAGAGGAATGGCATACGTGTAAAGCATGGCATACTCCTCCGAGTTGAATTGCTGCTCCGCCACTCCCTCGAGCAGATTGATCAACTTGGTGATGCCCTTCTGCATGAACGCCCATCCCTGCTCCAACTCGATTACCTTCCTATCGTTCATCGTCATGGCTGCCGAGCCTAAAACCCTACAATGCCCCGCCGGACGACCTAAGGAGCCAAGCGCCTGCGCCGCAGCTTACAGTCGCGGATCTCCAATTCTTCGCTGCTCCATGCGCCGCCAAGCTCGGCGCAACCACGCAGCAGCTTGAGCCCTCTTCCCTCCTTCGGCCACAAACCCTAAAAATCGGAGCCTTAGCTTGGCCTATAAACGCCGCGTTCTCTTCCCGACCTTTCCTCTTAAATTTTTTTCCTTTGGGGTTTCTTTTTGCCCTTTGCCTGGGCGTGAATTTTTAGGTCTAGGCTAGGGCACGAACGAATGCTGCAGGATGCGGCCAAGCTGGCGCTGGGCTGCGCATTGGTGGCGCGCGAGCTCCTCACCTCCGCCAGATCCTCCTCCTCCTTGCTCGTCTCTCTCACTGATCTCGCCGGATTGACCAGGGGCCGCATCCATCACGCCATCACGGCGCCTGTGGCATCGCATCACCAATCGCCACGCCAGGAAGCTGAGGTACGAGTAGAATCGAAGCAGAAGCCCATCGATGCGGTGGACGGTGAGAGAATTTCAGTGGCGCCACCGCCACCGCCGCCACTACCGCCACCACCGCCGCCGCTAACAGCCGGTAACGAGCATCTCTCCCAGTTCAAGCTCGCCCGCAAGGTGAGGAAGCCGCGAGAGAGGCGCGTCCCATCGACGCCCATGGGCAGGATCATGGGGTGAGTCTAGTTTCTATCCAGAAGAACAACTAAACTTTCCTCTGTGACAGCTTTGCTGGAATGGGAGCTGGGCTTGCATGGGGCACTGTCCAGGAATCCGTGAAACGAGCGTGGTCTGGCCAGGGGCAATCCGGTGGCGATGCGCTGCTCTCCCCGTTCCTGAGCGACAAGAATGCCGAGCGTCTTGCTCTTGGCCTGTGCCGGATGCGCGGGGCAGCTCTCAAGCTCGGACAGATGCTTAGCATCCAGGACGAGACGATCATTCCTGCACCGGTAGTTTCTTGGTGGTAATTTGCAAAAGGGCCCTGCAGTGCTTGTGAGTGCTCATTAACTCTCTTTTCCTTCTTTTGCTGTAGATTTTGGCTGCTCTCGAGACTGTTCGTCAAGGTGCTGATGTTATGCCCAAGCAGCAGTTGCATGAGGTGCTTGTCGCTGAGCTCGGGCCGGAGTGGAGAGAACGTTTACAAATTTTCGATGATCAGCCTATGGCTGCTGCAAGCATTGGACAGGTGCGACTATTGTCATTCTTTTCTTGTCTCATTGCTTTCTCGCATCAGGTCCACCGAGCAACGTTAAAAGGAGGTCAGCTGGCGGTGATGAAGATACAATATCCTGGCGTTGCCAAGAGCATTGACAGTGACATAGACAATGTCAAATGGCTGCTGGAGCGCACCAATCTTTTGCCCCGGGGTTTGTACCTTGACCAGGCTATCAAGGTGAGATTTGGATAAACAGGAACGCTTTACAGGATCGCTTGAGCCTTAGTGTATATAGGTTGCGAAATCTGAGCTGGCGTTGGAATGCGACTACTATGTGGAAGCAGCAAGTCAGAAAAAGTTCAAGGAGTTGCTAGCAGGCGAGCAGGAGTTTTATGTTCCCGTCGTGTATGACGAGTTGAGCAGCAAGCGCGTGTTGACAACTGAGTTCGTGCCAGGTACAGACAAAGCATGTAGTTTGGAAAGCTCACACTCCTTATTTGCAGGTGTTTCGATCGATAAGGTTGCGACAATGGAGCAGAGCGTTCGGAACCACGTAGCCAGTCAGCTT